GGGCCCGAGACTTGGGCTTGAAGGTGGAGGATCTGCCGGGTCGCAGGCTGCGCCTGGGCTCGGAGGAGAGCCTGCGCCACTTCGCCGTGCGCCTGGACAGTGGGGAGCTGGTGGTGAGCCAGCAGCTGGACCGTGAGCGTCTGTGCGGAGCGGCTGCCAGCTGCGTGCTGTCGGTGCAGGTGGTGACAGAGAACCCCCTGCAGCTCTTCCGCCTGGAAGTGGAGATCCTGGACCTCAATGACAACTCCCCGAGCTTCCCCACTGCTCACCGCACCCTGCGTGTTGCCGAGTCGGCCACAGTGGCTACGCGCTACCCCCTGGAGAGTGCGCAGGACCCCGATGTGGGCACCAATGCTGTGGGCTCCTACCGGCTGAGCCCCAACTCCCACTTCTCCCTGGACGTCAAGCAGCAGCAGGATGGCAAACTCTTCCCGGAGCTGGTGCTGGAGCGTGCCCTGGACCGGGAAGAGCAGCCAGAACTGCAGCTGGTGCTGACGGCCATGGATGGGGGAAGCCCAGCCCGATCAGGCACAGCGCAGATAACAGTCCTGGTCCTAGATGTCAATGACAACGCGCCCACCTTTGACCGTGCAACGTACAAGGTGCAAGTCCCAGAAAACACGCCTTTGGGGGCCCTGCTCCTCCGGCTCAACGCGTCTGACCCTGATGAGGGCCCCAATGGGGAGACGCAGTACTCCTTCGGGGTTCACACCTCTGACTCGGTCCGAAGGCTCTTTGCCCTGGATCCCCGCAGCGGCGAGGTCCGGGTGAGTGGGGCCTTGGACTTTGAGGAATCCCCTTTCTATGAGATCTATGTGCGAGCCCATGATGGTGGGGTGCCAGAGATGGAGGGCCACTGTGTGCTACAGGTGGAAGTGAAGGATGCCAATGACAACCCCCCAGAGGTGCTGAAAGAACCCGGTGCCGGAAGACACCTCACCAGGGACTGTGGTGGGGCTCTTCAATGTACGGGACCGAGACTCAGGGGCCAATGGGGATGTGAGCTTGGACATCTCCCCCGATGTGCCTTTTGCCATCAGATCCCTTCAGAACCACTTCTCCCTCATCACCCGGGACAGCCTGGATCGAGAGTCCACCTCACAGTACATAGTGGAGCTGATTGCCCAGGATGGTGGGTCTCCATCCCTCACCACGACACTCACGCTGCTCCTCAACATATCTGATGTGAATGACAACCCCCCGCACTTCTTGCAGCCCTCCTACGATGCCTTCCTCCCGGAGAACAACCCGCCTGGCTCCCTACTGTGCACTGTCTCTGCCTCAGACCCTGACGACGGGGATAATTCCCGGCTTGTTTACTCCATAGAGAGTGGCCAAGTGCAGGGTGCCCCCATCTCTTCCTTCGTCCACATCAACCCTGACAATGGCAACCTCTACGCTCAGCGCACCTTTGATTTTGAGCTGCTGCAGGTTCTGCCAGTCTCTGTGGCTGTGCGGGACTCTGGGTCCCCCCCACTCCATGCCAATGTTACTGTCTACATCTTCGTGCTGGACCAGAATGACCACCCCCCCACCATCCTGCACCCTGCCAGCGACAGTGATGTCCCAGCACCCCAGAGGGTCCCGCTATCTGCCCCACCGGGCTACCTGGTCACCAAGGTGACAGCAGTGGATGCAGATGCCGGGCACAATGCCTGGCTGTCATACCGACTGCTGCCGCAGTCCACCGACCCCTCCTTGTTCCACATGTCACTATACACTGGGGAAGTGCGGACGGCGCGTGCCCTCCAGGACACTGACACGGCAGTGCAGCAGCTCATTGTCCAGGTGATGGACAACGGCGACCCACCGCTCTCCACCACTGTCACCATCACCGTGACCTTGGAAGAGGTGGCCCTGGAGGAGAGCTACAAGCCTCGGGATTTTCTAGCTGGTGCCAAGGAGAAGCCAGACCTGACCCTCTACCTGATCATCGCACTGGCAGCCGTTAGCACTGTGGCGCTCGCCACCATCACAGTCCTGGCTGCCCGGTGCCTCCGGCGCAGAGGCCATGCCGCCGCCTCGCCCTGCTGCTGCTGCTGGCTCAGCGAGTCTCCCTCTCGGGACTTCTTCAAGCACTCCAGCCCCAAGCTCCAGCTGAGCTCCGACGGCACCCTTAAGTACATGGAGGTCACCCTGCGACCCACCGACTCCCAGTCCCAGTGCTACAGCACTTGCTTCTCCCCCGGCTCCGACCGCAGCGACTTCACCTTCCTGCGGCCTTGCCCGCCCCCTGCCACCCTACCGAGGGAAACCGGGGCTTTCCTCTCCGCTACCGGTACGCTGCGGGACCCCGGCCAGGTGAGAGCCTAGGGACAGGGGAAGGAGGTGCTGGCAGGGGGCTGGCCGGGCGGCCGGACCTCTCCTTCC